TAGACTGTGTAAATTGTTGACTGCAAGGTAGACTGTGTAAATTACTGACTGCAAGGTAGACTGTGTAAATTGTTGACTGTAAGGTAGACTGTGTAAATTACTGACTGCAAGGTAGACTGTGTAAATTGTTGACTGCAAGGTAGACTGTGTAAATTGTTGACTGCAAGGTAGACTGTGTAAATTGTTGACTGCAAGGTAGACTGTGTAAATTGTTGACTGCAAGGTAGACTGTGTAAATTGTTGACTGCAAGGTAGACTGTGTAAATTGTTGACTGCAAGGTAGACTGTGTAAATTGTTGACTGCAAGGTAGACTGTGTAAATTGTTGACTGCAAGGTAGACTGTGTAAATTGTTGACTGCAAGGTAGACTGTGTAAATTGTTGACTGCAAGGTAGACTGTGTAAATTACTGACTGCAAGGTAGACTGTGTAAATTGTTGACTGTAAGGTAGACTGTGTAAATTACTGACTGTAAGGTAGACTGTGTAAATTGTTGACTGCAAGGTAGACTGTGTAAATTGTTGACTGCAAGGTAGACTGTGTAAATTGTTGACTGCAAGGTAGACTGTGTAAATTGTTTAACCAATCAGATTGAAGTATTCAATGTAATAGTGAAAATGAGTAGAAATGAATAAAACTGAATTTTCAGGCAAAATGTCAATCAAGAGTTCTGAGAATGATGATTGGCCTAATTTTGGACTCGTTCAGTAATTGTATTCTTCAAGTAAAAGCATTGTTCACAGATACTAGAATTATGTGATTCCGCGTAGCTGCAGAAAAAACTGCATAATTTTGGTTTTCTTCAAAATTATTGCAGAATTTGATTATTTTGCAAGGAAGTTTGCGGAAAACTTAATTTTTCCAGTCACCCACCTCATCTCATATTTTTTACTCACCTTGACACCTTAGACAGTCGTTTATCATCAGAAACTGGTGTTATGAGGATTTCGAAGGGGAAATTCTGAATCTTTTTAAAATTCTCCAACAAGAAAAAAATGCTCTCAATCCTAACTCATTTTTGAATTTAATAAAGAATAAATTCAAAATCATGCCCTCATTTTCTAAATGCACCAATTCAACCATGGCAAATGACTCAACCAATCAAATTACTAATTGAAGAATGAACACTACTTTCTGCTGAACTGTTCAATTCTGTGACCAGGGATCAACACTGTGACACAACTCCCAGGTCAATCTGACGTCAGCTCAGTGCAAAAATTAATCTATGCAATCAATTTTTCCCACTTGTTTTGTGATTAGGGCCAAATGGTTAAATTGCAATAATGAATTATAAATTGAGATTGTTGATTAATTACAGAGGCATATTTTCTAAGCAAATCAATTTTGAAAAAAATATTTTGAAAATAAATTCAAAAATAATAAAAAAAGACAAAATATCCTCATATTGACGGGGGGAGGGGGGGGGGGTGTACGTAACCAGGATCTAAAATTCAGGTGAGGCTCATTTCAATAGGTGAGGCAAAAATTGAGTTGAGGCAATGTTGTTCATTCTATCAATTCCACTACATTTTCACAGTTTCTTTTGAAAAAATGCCTCAACTAATATTTTCTGTACAATTTTGGCAATCATATATCTCTCAACAACTCTTGAGATTCATAAGTGCTGGATTCATAGATACTGAAAAATCCCATTTTATCAGTATTTTAATTGTCACTAATCTCAATTTTTAATTTATCAGAAGGGGTAACCTATTGTTACATAGTCTCCAACTTTTTATGGATGGCATTCGGCAATATGGTTTCAGCTGTCCGTATCTGTAACAAATGGTAGGTGGTGACATTATTATATATAGCCTAGATAATTGATCTTTAACAAACACATGTTTTAGATTTTTTAAGAACAAATTTATTACATTCTAAAATACACATTGACATTTTATAGTCACAAATGCATATACAGGTTTTAATAATAACGGCATTACTTGACTATTTCTGCATTATTATTACATGACTATGATGCAACATGACTATGCATTTTTACATGACTATGCATAACATGGCTATATGATTTTACATGACTATGCATGTTTGTATGCCTAATATTTGTCAAACATGTCAGTATTTCCAACATATATTTACAATTATATTGTTAAAATACAATTATATGTTGTATATATATTTACAGTATTTATATGACTTTTTCCGCTTCATCAAAGAGTACATCAATATCATTGTAATTTCAGGTTTTCTTACTACATATACCTATTTTGACAATAGATTCTTATTCAAAAATTCAATGATTTGGTCGATTTTTTGCATTTCTGTACTATTTTGACTTAAAGGCCCCACATAAAATTTAAACCTCTCACACGTAACATGGGACCTTTAACTTCATGCCTGTATATTTTAATCCATGGCAATTCCACCCTTCCTATTGTTTATTCTAAATCAAGACAAGACTATAATTATATTTTATCATACATACAAGTACAAATGAGTATTTAAATGTTCTCAGATTAACATTATATTGTTAATATATGATCTAGCTTTCCTTTGGTACATCACAATAGATGTACCATATAAATATATGCTTTAGCTTTTCTTTGATACATAATAATAATAGTGTTAAATATAATCTCACTTTCCATTGGTACAAAGTGATAAATGTAAAATGTTAAATAAGATCTAACTTTTATTTGGTACATAGAGAAAGATGTACCATGTCAATGTTTGGAGACATAAATTTACTGTGTTAATATAAGATCTAGCTTTCCTTTCATACATAGAAATAGATGTTCCATGTTTATATATGATCTAGCTTTCCTTTGGTACATATGATAGATGTACCAAAGGATTGATATAGCTTTACTTTGGTACATAACATTGACATTTTCATGTTAATGTGTGATCTAACTTTCTTTTTGTATATGGAGATAGGTGGTACATGGTCCATATTTATATATGGTCTAGCTTTCCTTTGGTACATATAGATAGATGTACCAAGTTAATACATAATCTAGCTTGGTACACAGCAACCATAAATATGTTTTTCTCATCTCACAGACTATGTTTGTACATGTACAATTATATACCATAAAGTATAATACAGACAAAATATTGTTTTTACAAATTTTATACAATAGTGTTCAAATGCAAAATTGTATCACACACATCTTGCATTAAGTACCTGAATAAGGGATTGAGAAAGAATCAGCTAGGAGGGTGAGTGGGGGTAGTATGGGTCTCAATGAAAGAATTGAAACTATTGGAAGAATTTTTCATAGTGCACACATGGTTAGGAGGCCCCAATGGTGGCCTCCTATTAATTTTATAGATATTATTATTCTTTATTATAACTCTTTATTCTTCTCCACACCTTTTCTCCTACTTGCTTTCAACTAGATACTACATACTTCTACTAGGGACCCAGGCTGAACTTGGCGAGAAAGGAATTTTTATCTAGGTCAAGGTCAAATTCTAAGTCAAATCTTAGTTTTTTCAAGTTTCTCAAAGCCTGACACTGCTATGCTATAACTGTTAGCCTTTTGCTGTCTGGACACATTTTGCCTAGATTTTGAGATATATTGAAGGTCAAATAATGTCTTTTTTCAACTTGCTTCAAATTGGTTGAATATTTTTAAGAAAATCATCGACATGTTCTCAGGAGTTTTCAAATTGATTTTCTGGATCCAAATTTAGGTATATTTAATCACAAAATATCCTCTGACGTCTAAAAAAGTAAGGTCCAAGGTCGAGGTCATAATACTAAATCATAAAGTGTGAATTTCTCAAAGTTGAAGACTATGAATCAATATTGTTGGATGAGAGTCAGGATATGTATTCCTTTTAAAGTTCTACATATATTAGCAATTAATTAGCATTCAAAATTTGCACCAATTTTGAGATATTAGAGCTCAATAACTGAAAAAGGTCAAATTTGGGAATTTTTCAAGGTCAAATTTCAAATGGACCAAACCTTTTTTTAAAATCATCTACAAGTTTCTTGGAGTTTATATATGACCTTGTATTTGAGATTTGACCTTTGGCTGGCCTTCGAAAGGTCAAAAACCACATACAATTTGTAAGATTGCTCGCAATCTTGATACCTAGTTATTATATTATATACACTACCCTGGTTCAAACGAGTGTTAATAGATGTTGCTGCTGTGCATAAACCGACCATGCTATTTCCTTGCCTTTTTTCTCTTATATTTGAATAAAGTGTTCTAAAATTTTCTTGCATATTTATACGATTAAGAGGGTTGACTACATGCCCCTGTATTGATTCCACTCTTTTCCACTCTAATTTGCATGTGACTGACTGTCATGACATGTGAGGAATCGAAGGAAGAAATCACCAATCACAATGCTTGTAATGACTGGAACGCATGTCGTATACTCAATATATTTCTCGTACTTTTTGAATAACTGGAATAGTCTGGCATATACGACGTCACATTTTTCCAAGTAAGCAGTAAACCAATTATCTTACAATGATGAAAGATTATACCATCCTGTTATCAACTGAAGACAATTAATAACATTTACTGAAAGCATTAATATGCGATTTCTTTTTTGCTTGATTCATCATTATTGTGTAATACTCCCATAGGTAAAGTTTGTCATTTGATGTTCTTTTTAGCCTTCATGGTTGAGCTTAATTATTATTGTTATATGCATCAGTTTTACAGATTGGAAAAAGCAAACCATCAGATACCTCCCTATAAACTGAATTAAAAAAAAATCTAAATTTTATAATCTCAAAATTCCAGAATTAATGTTTCTACAAAGAGAGATAAATAAAAAAAATCTGGGCATTGGTTACCCGTAATATTAAAGTTTTCATTTCACGAACTTCTATTAATTGTACAATTTTGTTATTTTCTTGATTGTAAAATCCTCTTATTATGGTAGTATCAGTTCTTATACTTGTTACTGGGCACAAACCTTCTATAAGATTCTTGTATGTGTAAATTGGTAGTGATATAATAGAAGATTTAACAATTCCCTCATGTATATGTTTTTAGGAATGGGGGTGGGGGGACCCTCATGTCGATTGTTGTCATAGTACTGATATGCGATACTGTGGCAGTTGATTGGCTACAGAAACTTGGAAAACATTTTTTTCTTAGATATCTTGTTGATAATCTTAAAAAATTCAAATGTGGAATTTAATCTTTTAAGTGAAAATGTCTGAATGGCTGTAAATTTCTACATAATTTCTTCCCAAAAACCACCTTGTATTATTTTTCTCTGTGTTCCTTATTTGGTCATATGCCTTATTTGGTCATATACCGAATAATCGAGTGTTTTTATTAACATGTACCTGGTTTTCCATTGTTTTTGTATACCATACTTTAGTCTATACATTGCCATTTCCACTCCTGATCCAGGTTGGTAAAAATGGACACCTCCAAATGACATTTTGTAAACAGTGTTTCATACTTTCGTGTAACGTCCCTGTAATCGAAAGATTCAAAAAATTAAATTACAAAAACACTATTATTTTAGTTTTATTGATTGTATATTAGCTGTTGATATATGTTTTTCATGGAGTTGAATACAAATGAATAAAACTAATTTCAAGCAAGCACTCTTTGACTCTGGCAAAGAGCGATCTTAAAGATTTAGCAACCCAATTGAAGCTGTTCATTTTACTGGATGTTTATCTTAGAAAAGTGTTCAATTTATGGAAGTGTTCAATTTGAGTTTTTTCTGCATCATTTCAAATCAAAGATACCAATGTATTAATATATTTACAATTGAACAGTTTGATTTTGAATCAAATCAATGATGTTTTTATATATACACAATATTTACAATAATTACACCTTAATTCTATTCTACAGACTAGTTTTGAATACTTTTCATCTTTTGATTATTTCTGGCTTTAACTTGTGGCAATTGATTTTTTTGTTGCTTTTCAGTCATTCAGCTTCATTGAGAATTTATACATTCAATGTTATCAAAAAGTTCAAATGGAAATTGCTAATATGGTCTCAAAACTGTTCATATTTGATCCAAAAATATCGTACCACATCATCATTAATTCGAGTGCAACGTATTTTAATGCTTATTCCTTTGATGTTTCCTATATCGATCAAAATGAATTCATGATAAAGCATATTGCCACATGAAATATCTAGGTCTGATAATATATTGGCACCGGTATTCTGTTGAACCTCCCAGTGATTCTTTATGCATTAACGTATACAATTTTTTATACTCGAATTCCTACAACGTTGCTTTAATCGAACCTTAACCTTGAGAGGTCATGGAAATCGAACTTTGATCCATGCATTCAAATATCTATGATTTCTATGATCTAATTTTCAGCACTTAATCGTTCAACATGATTCTGACTTACAAGGTGAACCTGAAACTCTCAAGGTGAATGACACCGACGAATTGAATAACTAGGACAAAATATTGAATGTTAATCTAAGATGTGTGTGTACCTTCAGGATCCAAGCTTAATCTTTTGGTTGGTTGCAAATGTTTGCTATTACCCAGGAGTGACAAAAGCTATTTTCTGGTAGTACATAATTAAAATCATAAATAGCAATAATGAGAGTGTGCTTCTTATACTGCTAAATTTGAACCTTGACCTTGGGTATATTGCTGAAATCAAATTCTGACTTTGAAATGTTTTATGTCACTCAAATTAAACTTGACTTAAAAGGTTGCTTCAATACACTGATATCAGAAGGTCGCCAAAATCAAACACTGATTTCAGAAGGTTGCTAAAATCGAACACTGATCTTGGAAATGAATGTTGGAAAAACATTAGACTTTTGTTACCTCTGTAGAATAGGAGTGATTGTTATTATATGCACTTTGGTAGCCAGCGTACTTCTTGATTCCCATGCATTTACACATTTTGAATAACATGACTTTGTACGCTCGCTTTATATCTTTGGTCCTAGTAGTGTATATCACCGGATCACTCATATAGTTCAAGATTAATAGTAGTTGGAGCACTATGTAACACCATTGCTCTGTGAGTGGATTCATTTTTATTAAATCCAATGACACAATTGTATAAAATGCCCAGAATGGTATTGAGTACATGATTAGTGTTCCAGTCATCATAAGCGTTGTGATTGCTGCCTTCCTTCCTTCGTTTGCCTCACATGTCATTTGCATTGTCCGCGCATTGTTTATCACTTTACGTGTCTCGTAATATACTTTCAAACACAGCACAATAATGGTTATAAATACCAGGATGTAGATCGGTGGGTTAATGTAATAAAAAAAGTTGATCGCTTGTGTATTTGGGTTTAAATGTTGTATTATACGGGGAGTCGTTAACAGTGAAGAGATTGTCCACATGCAAGCTAAATAAATATAAACTGCACATTTTGTGAGTATCCTCATTTGTTGCATCGGATGGCATATGACGATATAACGGCACAGCGCCATGCCTAATAAGGAAAAAGTAGATGCCGTGTAAGCCAATTCTGAGAGGATATCTCCGGCTTGGAGTAGTCCATTTCCCCAAGCTGTTTCCTGCATTGCTTGCGATCCGTAAACCCTTGCGATAGGAACAACTATAAAAGCCATTGATGCAATTGTATCCGACACTGATAAGCTCACAAAGACGATCATATATGAGCGCCATGTTTTTACAAAACACGTCGCAACCAGTGCTGTGACATTACCAAGTATGGATATCGTTCCGAGAATTAGGAATATGATGATAAAGTAAAACACCCACTCGCTGCTACCTCCGCCATTTGGAAATCCTCCACTGCAGTTCAGAGTTGAATTTCCAGTGCAGTTCAGAATGAGGTAAGCATCACTTTGATTTGTTGATACTTCCATAGTTGCAGTAATAGATGATTTTTGCATATTAATCTCTATTTAGTTTTTATCTTGTTTGTATCGATTTCAGTTACTTCATGTTTGTATTTTAGTCCTCGTGTGATGATTGGACTGCACTGCACTGTTTTATCAAAACTTTTTGGTTGTGTCCTGCTTATACACTCAACACTTGTAGATCAGTATATTTGTTTAGAAGTCATTGAATCTTGTTTTTCCTGAAAATATATAAGTAAACAGACTGATTATGCATATTTCTTTAAAAGCATCTTCTAAGATCAATTCCAGAAAGTTATTTCAGAATTTGATTACCATATTTATTTTTTATTTTTGAATGCCCAATCATAGCCTTATTCAAGCACTCTTTTGATATGTGTTATTTTAAGAACAGTACTTTTTATGTATCTTAGGCCACAGGTACCTTATTCTATGTTTTGTGTCCCTCAATTATATTGACCTTGGGCTGCCTTTTTACTTTGCATATTTTATTTGCATATGAACAATCTTTTGGGATTGACTTAATTATTGCTTTGAATGATACAAATTGTACAAAAACATCTATGTGTGTCCCCAAATCATGAATATCGATGTAAAACAAAAAATAAACTCATGGCCTTATAAGATTTTACAGTTTAAAGCCGATGTCTTCAAAAGTACTCACAAGAAAACATTTTTTATTTACTCATTTTTTATATATATCATTTTTTTTTTAGAAAATATTTTGCATTTAATACATATTACACATGTAAACTTTCTAATCCCTTCCCTGCGTTAAGAAAGACTCACTATATCAAACATGGAAAAGAGAGTATTTAGAGTCAGTGTGAGGTTCTATGAAGTTTGCATAAATATCAAATTATTAAGGACTTCAATTTTTCCCTATAAAGTGATGGTATTCTAGCCCCAACATAACTTTACTGTCATCTATTTTTCAAGCAAGACCTCTATTGAAATGTGCGAATTGTTTTTGAAGAGGACGCTGACACTTGCATATTTTCTTATAAAGAGTAGTCTTTGTCATCTCTCGGGCTTCTGTTAAGTCGCTTGGTTTTTAATATCACAAAATGATTGCAAAATAATAAACTAGATAAAGATAATTTTATGATCATTAAAAGATAAATCATTTGCAATGATTGTACTATTGTCATTTATATCTTCTGATGTTTTATTAACCTGCTCATAATATCCATTTTCTTTTGGTTTTCCCACTAATTTCTCTCCAAATTTCAAATGAAGTGTCTGATTTTCTTGCATTTTCATACAATTTAAGGTGTTAATTACATCCTTCTTTACCTTATTCTTTACTAATTGTTCATCTTTTGCTATATTTGTCTCTTCAAAACATGATTTTGCTTTTTCATGCACAAGCCTATTTTTCTAATTGGTTGATATATGTTTTCCCTAAAAGCTGCATTTTAAATTAACTCCATTTTTCAAAAATAAGAATTGAAGATTTATCCTCTTTTCAAATCAAAAGTCTGTTTCAGATATCGATATGTTAACAAAACATTACAAACATGCATATTTCCTATCAAAACTGAGCTATTACTTTGATTATATAGGGCATCCATCTATAAATTCACATTGTCCCTAAAAAATCCAGGCCCTTTTAATACACCAACAATTAACCTTCTTTGAGTATTTTAGATCATGAAATTTTTTAGATCTTTGATATATCAGTGTTTTCTGGAAATTAATCTAATCAATAGAATATGTAAAGCATTTCACAACTGTTAATAATACTATTGTAACCCTGAGGTATTTTTTTTTATTAGTAATTGACTTAGCTTTTTTTTATTTAAGTAACAATTAACCTGTCAATTAGTCTACATTTTATTCAATATGATAGATCAATGTTTCCAATTATCATATGCAAAAAATTGTACCTATCACAATTTGTTCTACTGAACACATTTTTCTATCGAACTTATTTTTAACTGACTCTTTTTACAGATAATATTTTCTACTGAACACATTCTTCTACTGACTGCATTTTTCTTTTGAACACATGTTTCTATCGAGCAGTGAACACTTTTTTCTCCTGGGCACATATCTGTTGTATTTTTATTCCAAGTTTTGATAACATTTTCGATTTATTATTAAATCACTGCAAAATGTCATGTGATATGAAGCAGAAGTTGGTAAGAATGTACCAAGCTGTCCCCCAACATAATAGATAAAAATTAAATATGAAATTTAAAGAGTTGACTATACCTATCTGTTTACTTGATTCCTTGCTGATTTAAAGAGTTGACAATACCTATCTGTTCACTTGATTCCTTGCTGATTTAAAGAGTTGACTACACCTATCTGTTTACTTGATTCCTTGCTGATTCCTCTCCTTCCTTACAATTTCTTACTTGTAAATGTTAGTGTGATCTATTCATATTGCCAGTCATCTGTTGTTTTGAGGTTCAAATAACAATGTTAGTGTTGTGCAATACCTTTATGCAATTTTCTGTTTTGAATTAATCACTAGATGACTAGCAAATAATAGGAGGATTTCGTTTGGCGTCTATGTATCAACAAAATATACAATCATTGCTAAGGACATTAAAAAGGCATTAATTTGTATATTAGAGGATTACTTTGCTTCATGTATAACAAGCATTTAATAAAAAGAAAAAGTCACATCCGTCTTAGACATGAAATAAGAAGCTTATCCGATAACTGTTTTATTTTTTCTGTTACATTTATTGATAAATACGTGCCTTATGAATTGTAATGAATAACATCATTTAAACAATTAGAATTTATCATTACATTCTATTTTTATAGACTTATCAGGATGTTTATCATTTGATTTCAAGTGGTTTCTAATTGCTGCAAACACCAAGTGCCAAGCAACTTGGAAGATGGAATGAGCCCTGTAAATTCAGAGTTTTATACATTTAGAGGAGGAATTAGAAGAAGTATTAGAATAAGAAAAGGTACATAGAGGCAATCCTTTCAAAGATTATGCCAATGTTTCCCTTTCAGTCCAAATTTGAAATTTCTGAAAAAGAAACTCAGATATCTGATCAGTTCTAGAGTTTATTGGTGATTTGAAATGTAGAAATTAAATGAAGCATATTTACTCCCTCCATTGAAATTCTACAGAGTCTAGTTAAAGAGTACTCTCTGACTAGTAAAGAATATATCACATTTTATCCCTGCGTGCAGAGTCTAGATATAAACTACTCTCTGCCTAGTATAGACTATATTATTATAGTTTAGCAGCCCGCCCCCATCACTAGTTCTTGAGACAGCCCAGGTCATGAATTATTACAAACTAACCACTATAATCAACAAGCTGGAAAGAACATAAGCTAAATGCATGCTCATTAACCATGCAATGGTGTCAGAGGAAATGACCATTTATAAAACGTCTTCCGTATTTCAACGATGACCTTTCATTGGCTCTGTGAGTTCAAAGATTTATTGTAAACTGAAAGAGAAGCTCTCTTTTAAGAAGCAAAGTTGGACGAATGAAAAGGTTATTGCCATTTAGGAATTCTATGAGATTCATTCACTTGGGGCTAAATTAATCTTACATTTCCTATTTATTATGCCTGGTTAACTTGTATCCCTTATTAGGATGTGTTTGAGATTTATATAAAGTTGCTTTAAAAACAGAAGAAGACTGTCTGCCTACCATTTCATTGGATTTCATGGCACCGTGCCCTGTTGCCCATATTTAGAAAAAATCCTTATAAGTACAAAAACATTCTTGAAAAACTTACTACAATTTATTTTATTTTTGTGTGAAATTTTAATTTTTTGACTTTAGATTACAAGGTGTCGAAAACTTGTTCAATTTGGTAATTTCATCTACAACTTCCAAGGTGGTACAAAGCTGGAGTTGTAGTATCTGACATATGTTAACCAAGATGTGGTAATTTTAAAATTCTCATCTCTAAAGTACCTGGTTATTTTAATCTGGGATGAAAAGTTTTATATTTGGAGAGATCAAATGTTTTATATCAACCTCTTTAGTAGAAACCCACCTAACCTAAATCTGTTTCTTCTTGAGTTGAACATTGAAATCATGAACATATTGGGATTGTTTTGTAAATATTGGATAATACTTGATACTGCCTTGGGCTGAACATTGCCATGGTGGTCATGATCTAGAATGCAAAATAGAGTGAAAAAGAGTGAAATTAGCAAGGAATAAAGTAGACAGGCATGTAGTCAACACTTTAAATTGTAAAGAAATCTAAGAGAACCATACACTTTATTAAAATTTTAGAGAGGAATGAGTAGAACAAGCATTAGCAGACGGATATTTTAGACAAGGGAATCAGAGGAAAACTGGCATCTTTTTACACCAGAAACATTTGATGATATCACTAAGTGCAATATAAGATAATACCTGGTGCTGTTTTTCTTTCAACAAAATAAAACGTTCTTCACAGTTATAAACCAAGATGTTGAATTCCTAAGATTTTAAATAATTGATTGATTTCCCGAAAAAAAACTAATAATATACAATAATTATAAGAATTATTTCGCTTGATGTTTAAGAATTTACACCGTATTAATAGGACTATAAGCTTTAATAATTCATGAAATGGGAAGGATAGATCTGTTTTTTGTTTACAAAGGTAGAACAAATCTGTATCATCGATACGTCTTACTCAATTTATGCTTATTGAACCATTTTTCATAAAAGCCAATCAAGATGTTATTTTCCATTTGTGAAATCTGATTTTGAGTGTGTATGATTTTTTTTTGTTTTTTTTTCCAATCTGTGTGTTTTTCTCAGTTTTCCCATCTTGTTTCTTAGAATGATATAATTTTGTGATTTTCTGTGCAGGTCAACAGATCTGAGAATTGCTTTCAGTTGTGATAACCAGAGGATATCAGAAACAGATTCCTTGAAAATTGTAATGATATTCATTTTATAAAATGCAAAATAGTGTAAGAAAGAGTGAAATTAGAAATAAATAAACTAAACAGACATGTAGGCAACACTCTAAATTGTATAAAAATACAAGAAAATGCACAACTTTATTAAAATTATTTCAAGAAAATGAAAAATGAATTACTGATCTTAATATTATTTTTTTGCATCAGTGATATTTTTACATATGCTTTATACCTAAAGTAAGTCTCTTCAAAGCCCATGGTATGATCTCACATTCAACATGTTCAAATAGGTGTTAGTTGTTCATAAATGTAGTAATAAACAGTTCTTTATTTCTGATTTAATCTAATCAAGCAAAGATGTTGAATT